CGAGTCTTTGAGACAGTAGACAACATTTGTAATTTATCCAATTATTTTCTATTACCAGTGATGCAAAGAAAGGTTTCAATGCCCTAAATCTAGATGGGGAACCTGCCTACTTCATCTTAATTTCATGCAGGGTGGCAGAGACTTGCAGACTACCAGAAATAGTGCAAATTGAGTCCACTTTAACTGCCCTGACTCAATGCTAGGGAATCATGGGAACTGTAGTTTATTGTGGCACCAGAGCTCTCTGACAGAGAAGGCTCAATGTCTCAGAAAAAATACAATTCCCATGATTCTCTAGCACTGAGCCAGGGCAGTTAAAGTGGACTCAATTTGCACTATTTCTGGCAGTCTGCAAAGGCCCAGAGAGAAAGAGCTGCATTCTTGGAAACTTTTTACCCTCTGTAACTCCAACACACTCAGCCTAATCTTATTTCTGAACTATAACCTTACTCTACAGAAACTACTTACCTGAAGGTAATATTTTTTTTCTTTTGCCACAGATATAAAAGGTAGAATGAACAAAGCTTTTTTTCGAGTTTCTAGAACTCTTTTCAGTATAAGCAATTCAGCAACAAGCGTTTTCCCAGCACTTGTAGGAGCTGAAAGTCATTGAAAGAAAGATGTTAACCTGTAATGACTCAGGTTTAAAAAAAGGAAGACTACAGATATAAGTTGTTTACTTAGGACTCTCAATATATAAATCAATAAAAACAATAAAAAACCTGACATGTCACAGAGGGGCAAGCATGCATATGTATAAGATGAGATAAACCAGCTTTTGGCAAATCTGTGGTGAAGTCTGATTAATAATAATAATAATAATAATAATAATAGGCATACTAAAATATGAATATGGTCCAAAACACATTGCAGAAATAATCCAGTCTGAGACCACTTTAACTGCCGTGGCTAGGGAATTCTGAGAACTGTAGTTTTGTGAGACATTTAGCCTTCTCTGTCAGAGAGCTCTGGTGCCACACTAAACTACAGGTGTCCCTCCGTGTTTGCAGACTTGGGGTCCGCGGTCTCACTCTTTGTAGACAGTAAGTGGGGGGGGAACAAAATGGTGCATGTGCCCATGGCACAAGCAGAGGGGACCACACGCAGGAGCACACGGGCATTGATATGAATGGGACCCCAATACTGACAATTTTTCCAATTTGCAGGGGGGTCTAGAATGGATCCCCACGAATTGAAGGGATGACTGTACAATTCCCAGGATTTCCTAGTACCAAGCTAGAGCAATTAAAGCAGTTTCAAACTACACTACAGTCGCCCCTCCTTTTTCACACGGGATCCATTCCAGACCCCCTCACACACACAAATGCAAATATTCAAGCCGTATTGGCTTGAATGGAGGCCCATGTCTATGGGGGCAAGCAGGCGGGTGCCCCATTTTGTGCCCCTCCATTCATCCGTCACGGATAAACGAGAGTCGCAGACTTCAAGTCCGCAAAAATGGAGGGACAACTGTATTTTTGCAGTGTTTTGGATCTATATTACACAACAGTCACAATATGGAGAAACAATGGGGGGGGTTGCATAAGTACACTCTCAAGATGCAAAAGAAATAGTAGGTTTGGCATTCTGTTTTTGTTTTGTGCCTTTACAAATATGGAGCTAGTAGTTATGATAATCACTCATTAACTGGAACCAAAGCATGCAGCAGTTCCTGACTGTGAACACATGGACATAAGGTGACTAAGGAGGGTTGCAGACTGCCAGAAATAGTGCAAATTGAGTCCACGTTTAGGGTTAGGGTTAGTGCTAGGGAATCATGGGAACTGTTGGTTTTTTTTCTGAAACATTGAGCCTTCTCTGTCAGAGAGCTCTGGTGCCACAATAAAATACAGTTCCCATGACTCCCTAACCCTAAAAGTGGACTCAATTTGCACTATTTGTGGCAGTCTGCAACCCCCCTAAGAAATATTAGCATTGTCACTTACGGTTATGAGCTGTGGTTTTTCTAAATTTAAAAATTAGCCTCTTTCATTAAAATGGAAAGTGACTCTAATTTACCATAGGCAGACAGGTGAACGCTATGTCAACTGACCTTTGATTATTGGAAAATAAATTGGCTCTCCACATTTGTGGCTTTGACTTTTGTGGATCTGATTGTTCATGGATATGCTTAATATGTTATCTCTAGGAATCATCTCTAGGTCTTCCAGCATGACTCTGTTATCACCTGCAAGAAGTCATGCTGGAAGACCAAGAGATTCCAATAGAGAACACTTCTCTAGACATTTATACATCCTCTTTTGCAGTTCTATGGTCAATGTCTGACAGATGCTGACCATAGTTTCCCAGGAGGACCTAGCAATTTCTACAGAGGTGTTCTCTCAAATAAGATAATTATGTATTTTTATTTGTAGTTTTTCCACTTTCACAGGGCTTCTGTGCCCTAACCCCAGTGAATATGGAGGGCTTACCTGAGTAGACTAAGTTTTTTCCTTCTAAGACTTGCCCAACCATCAGACACTCTGCTTGCCACTGGAACATTTGAATTACTCCCAAACTGTGGTATTTCTCCAGGACAGCTTTAGGTAGACCCCAGTTTGCTAAAAGAAGTTTATCGGCTAAGTCATCTGGAACACCCACATATTGGCGTTGTCCTAGGTGGAAATTCAGCATCTGTTAGCAGGTTCTCCATGGGAGGAGAGGTATTATCATTGACAAGGTTCACACACCACAGACTCCCCATGAGACCTTAATAAAAGTAGCACAAATCACCACTGCTTAGACCCCATTTCCTCAAAATGCATGGTCTTAGCCTCAACTCTCAGATAAATGCAGGCACAGACACTGGCTTAAAACCAAAGGGCTACTAGAAAACAACAAAAAGATAATTTCTGGCATTTCATGCTCAAATCTACATAAGAAAGCACAAGTGGATGCTCCTATGGTCCAAAACACACTGCAGAAATAATCCAGTTTGAGACTGCTT